TTATTGTTAGATTATTATATTAAGTATGCTCGGTTATATCAAAATAGTTTAAACTATTTAATTATATACTTTTTAAATTTCATATGTCATGATTTATTTTTAAATTTTTAAATGTGGAACACTTGGCTAGTTTCACTTATATATGGAATAGATGAAATATCAAAACAAATGATAAAAATATAAAGTATTATTAGATATTTATATGCTTCAATATATAATATATATTGTCAGGAATTGGGAACTACTGCAAGGAAAACAAAGAGAGAAAACAAATGGGCAAGAAAAGTAGAAGAGCAACACATATTAATTTAAAACCTTAAAAGTCAAGTTTATGAGTCATTATATTTTTTTTATTACATACTCTCTCCGTTAAAAAATATAAAAATTTTTAGTCAAATCTCACCCCCCAATAAAGTAGTTATCTACTTTTAAATTAACCTTATATTTTCATATTTAATTCTATTAAACACCTTACAATAAATATAAAGTCATTATCAATAGGGGCACTTTTAAAAAAGGCAATGATTGTACCTCAAAAGATTTAAAAATGTCATACATTTTTAAATATCCAACTTCTCAAAAAATACTTTACATTTTTTAATGGATGGAGTATTAGTTATTAAGTCTAGCTCTATCCCTCTTATATTAACTTAAGTCTACTCTTACTTGAACCTCTGATCTTAAGAATATTTAATATCTGATTTTCATCCAGCTAAAATTCTAATTGAAGTATTTCAAAATTAATTGCTCGGTCGTAAATGAATATAATTAATGATTAATATTCTATAAAATACTTTACATGTTACATGAGACTTCTAAACAATGCCTAATATGCAAAATAGAGATGTAGTTTAATTTTTTTAATATATAATTATTTGGTTCATAGTACTAACGCTTCATCTTATTTAAGAAAAATTAAATCGAAGTTTATTTTACGTGCACCATTGGTAACTATAGATTATATATGTACTAAATTCATGTAGAGTCTTTCAACAACGACGATAATTAATAATAATAGAGTGCTAAAAAAAGTACAACAATAATAACAGACTCAGGAACAATTATGTACGATATCTATATATGTCTGAGATTGTGTTGTTTTTTCAGAATCTTTTTTCCCAATTCATGGCTTTTCCCTTGTTCTTTAATTAGCATGAAATTAAAACACACACAAGCATATATCGTACTTTTACTCGTTATATATGTACTGTGTCGCCAATGATGAGAGCAAAGAAGCTCCACATTAGGGTTTGGATGGGTGCATGGAAGAGTAAGGAAGAAGATGAAATAACTCAAAGAATTATTGAACTTCAATTTTGCTAAAAAAAAAAAAGGCCGTGCCATGACAGCTCAGAAAAATAGCGAACCTCCAAATTTTGAAGAATAAATTCTTCTTTGAGGATCACATGATGCTTGTGTACATGGTAATTCTATTTTAGCGCGAACTGTGTTGGAGCAACTTTACTGATCAAGCGCGCCAGAGGCAATTCTACCTGATCGAGTTGATCAATTGAAAATTAAAGTCTCAAGGTGTTTGGACCATAATTTCCTTGAAAATCCATGAGGTTTGAGAGGTAACAGGTACCTTCAGGAAGTTTGTCTGGGGAAGTTCTGTGTAAGATACACAAGCATGTGCTCTTGCTTGATGTAAGAGTGTCAACCCCTTTGAATCCATTTTTCTCACCATTGAAGAATGAAGATGGCAGTCGCTGACCTTCTTCCCCACTCTTATGTGCTGCTTTGCAATTTCAGGGTACTGGCCTGGGAAGTTGATATGTGCCTCTCATGAAATTGCCGCGGCAATGCTACATATTATATTTTTGAATTCATAAGATCACAATCAAAACGACATAGTTAGTTATAAACAAATCAGGAGACACTTGAATGTAAAAAATCCTTACACCTAGTGATGGATTATTAAAAATTCTAATATTGAAACTATCCCTATCAATTGGGTGATCCACACTTAATCTTGTTCATGTTAACCACCTCATGGATTTAAGGCCAAACCCAGGGGTTTTGCCTCTCATTATGATCCCATTCTGCTAATAATAATAATGGCCCAAATATGGGCTTAGATCAAGTTCATTAGTGTCTAGAAATCCTATCCCAAACAAGTTCAAACCATCCTAATATATTTTTTAAAAATAATAAGAATATAAATTTAATTACGAACTATTTTTTAAAGATTGCTAAATAACTTATATTATAAGGCGGTGTAAAATAAATTTTGAGCTAATAAAATGAAAATGAAGCAATGGCTACCTATCATTAATTTTGATTAAACGAATGTTTTATTTTACATTGTGGGGCCCATTTATATCGTTTGACCCTCTCTCTTCCTCTTGACCCTTTGGCTTCTCTGCTCTTCCTTGCTCTCTTGCTGGCTCCGATGAGTGTTGAAGGAAGAAGGCTTGCTTAATTCCCTCGCATTGGTGAAGTACCAAACGAGACCTAAAATATCATGAATAAAAAAAATCTCCAAGACCCACCCCCTTCATCTTCCTCGTCCACTTCATACCAAATTCAAACCCAGGCGAGCATCACCTATTCACCCTTCCCATTCTCCAAGACCCACCCGCTTCATCTTCCTTGTCCGCTGCCAAATTCACACCCAGACCAAGAAGCGAGTGCTCGACAACATGGCTCATGCAACATCCATCGTTGGATTCACGCCCAGACTAAGAACACCTGAAGAGAGAGAGAGAGAGAGAGAGAGAGAGAGAGATCATAGGTGGTAGGCAGGCAGCGACGGGTCATTTACGGATGATGGAGTCGATTCTGATGGATGCAAAAACTGGAGGTGCGGTCTCTTTTGAGTTTGCTTTTCGCTATGAAATGGAGAAAGATTTCTTGGGTTTAAGCTCAAGAGAACCATTAGCTATGGTGAAGGAGGAGATTTTCAATTATGGGTGCGAAGATTTAGGCATGCTTTCTCCTAATTCAATTGTTCATCTTATGTCATTTTCTACTTCTTCAAATGCTTTTGCAAATTTTGGATGCTTTGAGCTTTTGGAGCTAAAATTTTGAATTGCATTTAGGCCACCTTTCGATTTTTGTTCTTGCTTGATGCTATCATTTTAGGCTGCATGCCGTGTTTGTAGTTGTCATGATCACTAGAGTTGGAGGCTGTGGTTGTTGTGTTCGCCTTTGTTACAATTGTCGGAAAATGACTCAGGACGTTGCAGTTGATGTTGCTATTGAAATTTTTTTTAGAGAGAAAGAGAGAGTCACAAATGAGGGGATCAAATGAAAAGATAACATGTGGCTTGATAATTTTTTGAAGTCAAACAATTTGTCAGACAAATGTCAGTTATTCAAAACTAACAGTAGGAGCCCGTTGCCCTATGTTTATTAGTTCAAAATTTATTTCATATCACTGGTGATATAAATTATTTAGTATTTTTAAAAAATAGTTTATACTTAAACTTACAATTTTATTCTTAAAAAAATCTACTTTTAGGTGTTTTGAATTGGTTCTCCAATATAATTAAAATAAAATGATAATAAAATATTTTTAAATAATGTAAATAATAATTTGATCCCTTAAAATATTATAATACCAATAAAGTTTATAAAGACCTCTTTGTCTATAATTTTTTTAGAAAAAAAAACTATTTTATCTTTATTGAAAGTGTGATTTCTTATTTAATTTTTTAAAGAAAAGTTATGATTCTTTAAACAACAATTGTGAATGAAGTTTGTTATTTTGAAAAAATTTTCAATAATAAAAATTATACTTGACAAATTATGATTTTTTTATTTAATTCTTGCGATTTACAGAACAAAAGTCATTATTTCTTAAATAAAAGTTGTGATTGGGACTTGTTTTTCAATGATATAAATTACACTTGATAAGTTATGATTTCTTATTCAACTCTTGCAATTCACATAATGAAATTATGATTCTTTAAACAAAAATTATAATAGAGTTTTGTTATTTTTAAAAAAAGGTTATTAATAAAGAGGTTTTTAGATACTTCATCGATATTATAATATTTTAATAGATCAAATTATCATTTATATAATTTAAAAAGATTTTTTTTTATTTTTCTGATAATAAAATACAATTTGCAAGAGGTTTTAAATTAAACTAAATATTGCCCAGCATTGGTCCTTCAACGTTATCGCCCCAAAACCCTCGCTCACCACATGGCCCCATTTGAACCTTTTATTTTGTGCGTAGTTACATGTGAGCCCAACCTTGGGTTCACTTAACCATGCCATGCCCATACCACGTGGTTGCTCCCCCGGTCCCCCCGGCGCCTAACCTCATTATTTCCCCATATATCACAACCATTCTAATTTCAATGGCCACTTTAATTTCTCCTTCAAAATAATTCTAATTATCTTCAAATCTTTTACTTTTAAAATGGCTCTTGCTGGTTTGATTATAATAGTACCAGTGACGTACTTTTGCCATATTTCAATTTGTTTAAAGTTATATCATGTTCAATCTCTACACTCTTACTTTTTTTTTTTTGGGTAGAAATCTATATTCATACAGATCAAAAGAAAATTTTGGTCCATGTATCACTTGAGTTAAAAAGAAATGTTTTTTTATATATTTAGAACTAGAATGACGTAAACACACTCCATCCAATTCTAGATGTAAAAGCTAGTTGAGGGACTTGCTTTGATCCTAAATATAAAATATCGGTCCACTTTTGTCTCCAAAATTTATAATTTTTTTTCTAAACTATTCAGGTTGTTTGCACATGTTAAAGGGATTTCATCATTAAGATTAGTTTTCAATGCAAAAAATTAAACGAAGTATTTAGGAAATCAACACACACATTTTTTACAAATAATTAACTTAACTAATTTGCAAGGCATACTAAACTTAGTTTAATTTTAAAATTAAAAAACATGTTTCCCCTTGAAAAATAGGATATAAAAAAAATTAAAAAAGAACTACCACCGCTATTGTGTTTACTCAAGCGTGTGGCCTATATATACCCTTCAAAAGTTACACCTTCCGTAAATCCCACTCTCTTGCTTCTCTTTCAAAACGCTCACTTTCTCTCACTAAAAGCCTTCGTTTCCAAAATCAGAAGAAGAAACCCCCACACACCAGTGGAGCATAGGCACAAGTTTTTTGCAGAACATATATACATATATATATAAGAATCTCCTACTCAGTTAGTTACGTAACGGTTTTATTTTCATTTCTTCCGATCTTACCCTCCCTCCTCTAGCTTATTTTGTCTATCATGCCACTCCCTTACCACCACCATTAGACCTAAACCTCAACCACAGTTTCATAGTCTCTCACATATATGTTTACATATCTCCTTCATTGAAAAACTTTTCGATTTTTGGTGTTATTACTGTAAATTAGAAAATGATTACATGGAAAGATCTCTACACAGTTCTTTCGGCGATGGTGCCCCTGTATGTGGCCATGATTTTAGCCTACGGCTCCGTCCGGTGGTGGAAGATATTCTCGCCTGATCAGTGCTCTGGCATCAACCGGTTCGTCGCGATCTTTGCGGTCCCTCTTCTCTCATTTCATTTCATCTCCATCAACAATCCGTACCAGATGAACATGCGCTTCATCGCCGCCGATACACTCCAGAAGATCATCATGCTCGTCGCGCTCGGCATCTGGACGAACTTCACGAAGACCGGAAGTCTCGATTGGATGATCACCATTTTCTCGCTGTCCACATTGCCCAACACTCTTGTGATGGGGATTCCACTATTGATCGCCATGTACGGAGATTACTCCGGCAGCCTCATGATTCAGGTGGTAGTGCTACAGTGCATCATCTGGTACACTCTCTTGCTGTTTCTCTTTGAGTATCGCGGTGCCAAGCTGCTGATCATGGAGCAGTTCCCGGAGACCGCGGCGTCCATCGTGTCGTTCAAGGTCGACTCTGATGTGGTCTCGCTTGATGGCCGGGACTTCCTCGAGACTGACGCAGAGGTCGGCGACGACGGGAAGCTTCACGTGACGGTGAGAAAGTCCAACGCGTCAAGGAGGTCGTTCATGATGACTCCCCGTCCATCGAACCTCACCGGTGCCGAGATTTACAGCCTGAGCTCTTCTCGGAATCCGACGCCGAGAGGGTCCAATTTCAACCACGCAGATTTCTACTCAATGATGGGATACCCAACGGGACCAAGACATTCAAACTTCACAGGCTCGACGGAGCTACACTCCGTTCAACCATCAAGACCGTCGAATTTCGAAGAAAACTGTACAGTTCCAACGGCGGCTCAGGCGGCGAACTCTCCTCGGATGGGATTCTACCCTGCACAACAGCCATCTTCGTACCCCGCTCCAAATCCAGAATTCTCATCATCTAACTTAAGCTCCAGAAGTCTCAAACAACAAAATCAAGCTCCTGCTCCGAACAGTGCGAAAGCAAGTCACGACGCTAAAGAGCTTCACATGTTTGTGTGGAGCTCAAGCGCTTCGCCCGTCTCAGAACGCGGCGGCAGCGGTGCCGGACTGCACGTATTTGGCGGCGGCTCCGAGGATCAATCTGGACGCTCCGATCAGGGGGCCAAAGAAATTCGGATGCTGGTGGCTGACGACCATCACCCTCATCAAAATGGGGAATTAAACAAAGGTAATAAATATGCAGAGTACAGAACAGATTCATTATGTAGTTCTTAAATTGCTAATTGAGTAATTGTGATGATGATTGGTTCAATGGAAGCTATTCCAGATGCAGAGTTTGGAGGGGAAGAGTTGAAGCTTGTGGGGAAGGGAGGAGGAGAAGACGAGGCAGCTGCGACAGAAGGGGAAGAAGAGAAAGAGAAAGAGAAAGAGGGATCCACTGGACTGAACAAGCTGGGATCAAGTTCAACTGCAGAGCTGCAACCGAAAGCCGGCGGAGCAATGGAGTCCGGCATCGGAAAACAAATGCCGCCGGCGAGTGTGATCACGCGTCTCATACTGATCATGGTGTGGCGAAAGCTTATCCGCAACCCCAACACATACTCAAGCCTCATCGGTGTCATTTGGTCCCTCATTGCCTTCAGGTAATTTACTCCATCCATCAATCAAAAATTCCCAAAAAAAAAAGTAAATTATTCATTGATACAATTGATAATCACGTTAATTTCTTTGACAAATAATAAAAGTTTTGATTTGAACATCAATCATTGAGAAAAATTTATTTTTGATTACCTCAGGAAAAAAAAAATCACAAGTCACACACTCGTGTGTTCTTTTAATAATCAAACAACAAAACTTTTCCAGCTGCTTCTAGTAAGTTTTTTTTTTCTTTCTTTCAAGCAGAAAAAATAGTATGCGAATCTTTGTAATTCAGCACCACATATGATATGTTTGTCCATAAACGTCGCTCATATAATTTTTTTTGGGTAAAGAACTGAATAATACTTTTTTTCCCCAAAAAAGTGGTCTTCCTAAGTTAAAACCGGCTGGCCGTATAATTAAATTAGGCATCATTTTCGTGCTAGATTATTGAGATTAATAATACAAATCAGCATGTTGAATGTTGAACGAAGCACAGAGATTTCAAAACTATTGTAATATATATTGGATTGATGATGGTGATGAATGATGAAAAGCAGGTGGGATGTGAAGATGCCGAAAATAATAGAGAAGTCAATCTCAATCCTGTCGGATGCAGGTCTTGGAATGGCTATGTTCAGTTTGGGTGAGTGGCTGCCGTTTCTTCAAGCTAATTGATATGTCTACATAAGCGACACTTTACTTCCCTTTCTCCATAAACGACTTCGGTCGAGTCCCTTTCCTTTTCTGCCCCAAATTTTCAGCAAATTATTTAATGTTACGTTCCCGCGTATATTCTTTCCTTCATTTTCGTTTTCATTCTCTCTATTGCCTCACTTGCTCACACAACAATCTAGATGATTTCGTATTCAGTGTTCCCTTCAATTAAAGAGATGAAAGCGATACAAATGAAAGTCCTGGTCCACTTTCTTTTATTTCACTTATTTTTTAATTTCTTAAAAGAATATATGGTATTTGAGTCTCTTTTTCCCCCTGATTCTATTTTTCTTTCACTGCTATAACTAAAAAAAATGTGGATGTTGACACGTTTGTTGGATTTGAATCATGCATAGGTCTCTTTATGGCTCTTCAACCAAAGATCATTGCATGTGGAAACTCCGTCGCTGCCTTTGCCATGGCTATCCGGTTCCTCACCGGCCCGGCAGTGATGGCAGCTGCATCCATCGCCATCGGTCTCCGTGGTGACCTTCTTCGTGTAGCCATTGTTCAGGTAATTGCAATCATCCTCGAATTGCTTCTTCCTCAGATAATTAGGACAAAATTTTAAAATAAATGTTCATGGTTTTAGGATCTAAAATAATCCTTTGTTGTCTTGTAAAATGAAAAGGTTATATTTGGTATTTCAAACACTTTTTATAAACTTTTGAAGCAAAAAGTATGCATGAAGATTAATACTGATTTTGCAATGTTTTTTTTTTAGTTTTAATCTTATGTATGTACGAATGATGATTTATGGAAATTTAATTTATTGGTCGGAAAATAGGCGGCGCTTCCACAAGGTATCGTCCCCTTTGTGTTTGCCAAAGAGTACAATGTCCACCCAGCCATTCTCAGCACCGCGTAAGCAATACAATGTTCTTATATGTATAAATTCATTAACATTTTTTATTTTTAATTTCACTCATAAATCAAATTAATTGACTTGTTTTTAAATTTTAAAATCAATTTGCAGGGTTATATTTGGGATGCTAATAGCACTACCAATTACTCTAGTCTATTACATTCTTCTTGGCTTGTAGACTTTGCCCCAAATCAAAGGTCGCTCTCAATATCTTCATAAATTCATGTAAAATTCTTAGGTATATCAAATTTAGACAAAAATAAATAGATCAAAATAATCACAAAAAAATATATATACAGGTATGTCAGGCAAATTTTCCGAAGGAAACTGAGATGACTTCTTTAATTCGGGCATCCTTGTATATGTATTTATTTATGATTAACTTGATCTATTTAATTTCAATAAATTTGGTTCTACTTAAGAATATTCAGAAGGTAGCAAGCTTGCATGGAGATGGCTAGAGATGGGATTGTTGATGCTCAAATATTGAGGGAGATAAATAGTGGACCTATTTGAATCATCGAGATCTCTGAATATTGCAAAATTTTTGGGGAAGAAAAAAAAACTTGTCTGATTGGTCGGAAATTCAAAAGTCATTGCCCTATTGAAGGGGTGCAGTTGATCTAAATTTCAAAACGATGCTGAAGATCGACGGGACCGAGTCGAGCATTTGGGAGACAAACAGAGGAAAACAGGGAAGAAGGTTGAATCTGAATTGTAAATTTTATATATATATATATATATATATATAATGAAGAGTCTGATGAAGGGTCAAGTGACTAAGAAAGAAGGTTTAAGAATTCGGCTAGGGTGCTAGAGTCAAGGGAATTGGAATTGAAGTTCTTGAAGAATGTTTCATTTTTTATTAAAAAAGAAAAAAGAAAAAAATTATTTGGTTAGGTTTTGATTTTGTTAGTGATGGTATTTGTCGTTGATTGTCCGGGAATTCTGCAATTATTTGCGTTTGTCTCCTTTCTTGCTCTGGGTTATGTAAAATTTTCAAATTCTTCAAAAAATTTGTGATGAAAATAGTACATCATATCAGCAACTCTTGTGCAAGTAACAATTTGGTTAGAATAAGTCTATCCTTTGCTTTCCAAACTGTGAGAAAGATAATATTTACGGTTGGTGAAATCTATTCCTTATGCTAAAAAAAATCATAACAGTTTAAAAACATTTTGTTGTCTGCACTCATCTTTTAGTTAATCACTACTTCCTTTATTTTAAATTATAAGACACTTTTAAATAAAATTATATATATCAATAAATATTAATAAATATATTTAACAATTTTATTTTTTCAAAACGAAATATAAACTTTTAAAAATATATTTTATTTAATAAATTTAAATCTATACTTAATTAGTATTACAGAGAAGAGATAATATAATATTAAATAAATCTATTTAATAAAATTTTAATCTTCTTAAATTGTCTTATATTTTAGGATGGCAAACTCTAACAAAAATATTTTATAATTTAAGATAGAGGGAGAGCATTAGTAGGGATTGAGCGAGCCTCCACACAACCTATCATTAATAAAGTTTTATATTTTAAAATGACTAAAATATATTTTAATCTTTTAACTTTATATAAAAGTTTAATTTAATTTTTTAATTTTATAAAGTATTTTTTTAATCCTTTAACTCTGGTATTGTTAATTTCAAATGATTATTTTTTATATTAATTATTATTATTTTAAAAAAATTAAACTTAATATGTCAACATTTAAAAATTTTATCAATATGAATTAATATAAAAATTTATTAGGATGCCACTAATAATATTAGCTAGGGTTAAAGGACTAAAACATTACTTTATAAAAATTAAGGGACTAAAATAAAAATTGTGTCAAATTAAAAGACTAAATTAACCACCTTAAAAGTAAAACCTTAAATGCATTTTATTAGTAGGAGGGAGTAGAAATACGCACCAAGCTCCGTTCTTTGCAACAACTGTTTTTGGCCATCCTTTTGAATTTATATTTGGTATAACTTTTTTCTTTTGTTTCAACGCACAGAAATTGTCTATAAAATAAATGACGATTTTTATATATTAATTTACAAAAGCAATAATATTTAGATGTTGATAAATTCCACTTTTTACATTTCGTGAGAAAATACAGAGGCAAAATCTTGAAAATTAAATTTTGACGAGAATAATAAAAAGAAATTATAAAGAAGGAAGGCATAAATGCTTTTGAAACAAGAAAGAAAATTTAGGCAAGTGAACTTTGAGAGGCTCATTAAGGTATATGTAGACCTTAATTAACCTTCAAAGAATGTTTAGAGATGCATTCAAAGATAACTCACCAACAAAGTTGTGATATATTTAATTAATTAAGAAGATTTGAATAAACACTCTTTGCCATATATGTATGAATCACGTTCATATAAGATACGAACCAACGTTCAATGATAACATATAACTATGGCATAAATTAGAATTGCGTGATAAAAATAAACTAGGGTATATTGAAATTAAATGAACTTTGATACAAACTTCTTTTTAGTAATCACAAAGAAGAAATTCTATCGATATAGCTGAGATTATCTTTCCCGATATATTAAAGATATTGAAGGACAAACGTCTCCCAACTAATTAAGGTCTGAATGCCTTAGAGTGAGATTCGAAATCCCAAGTAGTGTCAAGATATTAAAATAGTGATTAGGTAGAAGAAGATATTGAGGTGAAAAATGAGTGTGCGTATAATAGTGGATAGGTGCTGGGGGATGATCGAAAAGTAAAGGAGGGATGTTTTAGAAAGGACAAAGACAAGTCAGATGAGGGGGGGTCCTGGGGTGGGCGTGGCATACAATAACCATACAAGATCTCTACGTTATTCTCACGTACACAGATTAATTAAAAGTAACGCTGTGGGGCGTGAGAGCCACAAGTGATCTCTTTTTAAGAACACACACTTGGCCATTTCAAGCTCCCTGATGAAGATCCACGCCCATAGGCCATAGCTCTCACTCATCAATATGACAGACAGACAGACAGACAGAGAGATGGCACTTTCTAAAGCACAGCATTACTATAAACTTGACTTCTTATTGATGGACGTATATACAGATATTGCCTCCACCACTACTATATATCCTATCTTCAACGACGTATGTAAGTTAAAATTTTTTTTTTAATTGACAATATTGTTAAAGCTGTGCTGTTACAAAAAAACCAAAACGCAATTGAACACAAAAAAGTTGATGCACCCTAGCAGCAGGGGTTTATTAATAATTCTGACATTAAAACTATCATTCTTTTTCTTCATGAGCCAACCAATTCGTACAACGGTTTGCTTTTCTGGGGATATGATCAATAAAGACTTGTCAATCTTACATAATAAAGAAGATTCCTGATCTTTCGAATAGGATTGATTAGAGGACATTTGGTGTGTATTATTCACTCTAACTCTTTCTGTTACACTCAACTCCTGTCGGTATATTTTGTGTACTTTTTTACATGAGCCCATGTGTAAATGATTTAATTTAATTTTAGGATAATAAATTTCTTGGTTTAACTAAGAAGGTGGCGGCAAAAAAAAAATAATTAATAACAACGATAATAACAAATAGGACCACACAACTAATTAAAGGCAGAGAATGTGAAGCCAAGTTGAAATTAGGGAACCAAGAATTGAGCCAGTGAAATGATAGAGGAGAGAAGAGAGAATTAAGCGTCAATGCATGCTAAAATGTAGTACTAAGAGCGTAGCCTTGGATTGAAGCAAAGTTTCAAGATGTCAACATAGATACGCTTAGCAGAACCTATATCCCACCAATCACCTCCTCAAAAGCGTAAAATATTGTGGCCACATGCATGCATGGACCAGCACGCCAACAAAAAGAATAAAGACAAACTCATTTAGTAATAATTGTAATTCACCAGTTCTTTTTCTCTTACCAAAGCATCCTATGGTCTTGATCTACAGTTCCAACCATTTATTTAATAAGAATGTACATCTCCATAATAACAGACATTGACTTTATTATTTCATTGCACAGTATTCTAAAAAATCCAAGAGTATATAATTAATTACCACCCATCTAAACTAATTCAAACCCTCACTGTATAACATCCTTATTACTAACAACGGCCTCATGTACATCTTAAGGATATCTGACATTTTTATTTCATTGCACGGTATTCTAAAAAATATCTAAGAGTATATAATTAATTATCACCTGCTTAAACTAATTCAAACTCTTACTGTATAAGATCTCATTACTAGTAGCAACCTCATGTACATCTTAAAGATATTTTTGACATTTTTACTTAACATGATTACATATCTTAACTCGAACTTGATCAAGACCCCAATATTATAAGTTGATTCAACCCTCACGATCAATTGAATCAAGCCCATTGGTATCATTGGTCATTAATTTGATCACTTGCAAAAATAGTGATACGTACACAAGCTTTCATTTCCATTACATATTACATGCATATATTGATTATAATATAATATGTCTTATGCTTTAAAACATTAAAAAAAAGCAGAGATAAAGCATCTTATGCTTTCCCATTAGGAAAAACACTGATTAATCACATTCCATAATAACCAAAATTACAATGAATCTACCATGTCTCACATATAACGTACAAAAAATTGAAAGTTACTATATAAATCTTACTAAAAACTTCAATCATATTACGCAACACCAAGCATGGCCTAACTATTGGTTACTAAGTATAGCCATAAAATAAATAAAGTTAAATAATCATAGTGGATATCATAGGAATGTGAAGTAATAAGTCGTAATTTTGGATGAAATCTTCATCGAAAGATACACAACAATTAATTGATAAATGGAAGCCAAAGATGTGTCACTTGCACTATGAAAATATATACATTTCAATATCAAGCTAAAATGATGCACATTTCCTTAAACATTTGAGCTTTGTTAATGTCTAGAGTCTAAATAGACACTCAATTCCTTAAAAGAAATGTGCTAAATATATGAATGTTGAGGAGTACCTAATTGACACATACCATGTGAGAATTTGAGACAATTTGATCCACTAGCTATATGAAAATACACACGCTCTTGTTTGGTTTAAATAATACACCCATGAATAGGACATTACCTAAACCCGTGTGGCGACAACATCACACAAATCCTTGTGAATTAAAACAAGCCTCGTTGATCTTTAATTATTGGTGGCAACTCGAAAATCTACCTTGTTGGAAAGTGTCGAATAATTAATGTCAACTTGATCCTCACATCATTAATTTACTCTCAAGTCTATAAAAGTGTTTAATACATTAATGAATCAGGTTTTGACAATCAAAGGTAACTAAGTAACTTCTAATTATTTTATATTATAGAGTATAGATTTATCTTTTTTCTAATTAAGAGTATAGCTAGTCCTTTACATGGATGTTCATATATACTTAGCTAATTATATACCAGAGTTTTGCATTAATCACACACTAATATTAGCTTAAACTACTCGGGAGGGACTGGGTACACATTTTTATATGATGTTGTCATTAATTTTCTAATAACTCACTACAAAAAAATTGACTTTTGACGGCGACAAAAAATCGCCGCTAAAAACTTTCCACCGCTAAAAATCATCGCTATAATAACCGTCGCTAATAGTTTTTGGCGGCGACAATATTTGTCGCCGCCAAAAGTCTTTTCACCGCTAAATACATTAGCGGCGACAAATAACTTTTTTTTAAGAAATAATAATTTATTTTATACCATATCACTCTGCCACGTGTGCATTAAGTGATGCCACGTCACCTACCATATATGCAATAGATTATGCCACGTCACTTGCCATCTTGTGCCACGTCACAGTCCATGTGTTCAACAGATAATGCCACATCACCTAGCCATCTCATGCCATGTCACATGACACATGTGCACTTCCTCAAGCCACCTCATGCGCCACGTCACCTGCCACATGTATACCCCCGTCAAGCTACCTCATGTGCCATGCTACCAACTCATGCCACATCACTTGTCACATGTGTGCCTTCTCAAACAACCTCACGTGCCACATCACCACCATGCGCCACATCACATATTT